TAACTAGTACTCTTAACTACTGAACTATCTATTTCTCCAGTCCCTGTATTGTCTTTAATATTTAATATTTTAATATTGAGATTTAAAAGTTCTTTATATAGTCGCAATACTACAACTGTATAAGATTTATATTATATAACTATTATCCCATGCTGTGGGTAATCTTTTCACATTACTAATAGTATTCTTTCAAACTCAAAGTCTTTCATTTTGATGAAGTTTAATTTATGTTTTTTTTTACCTTAGTTACACTTAGTTATACTTTTGACATAATACGTAAGAAATATTTGCCAGATCTTAGGCTTCATTTTCTTCTATGCAGTTTATATTTTTAACTCCTACATTAAGGTCTTTGATTCACTTAATACTTGTTTTTTGTGTATGGTATAAGAAAGGGATACAGGTTCATTTTATTGTTTGTATAGCCTGCAGTTGAATACCCGAGTAGCAGCCCAGAGGACCAGGTGCCTGGTATCATATTGAAAAGTTGGTCACTTATCTGTTTGTTCTTGTTAACAATTAATAGGGAGATGATTATACATCATGAAGTGCTTTGTATTTTAATGTAATCTAGTAGCCTGGCACAATGAATAATACTTTTGGTATAAAATTTTATTTAGGAGGGTTGGGAAGTGACTCACACAGTGAAGTGCTTGCTTTACAAGCATGAAGAACTGAGGTCATATCACCAGCATCCACATAAAGATTCTAACACTGGGGAAGCAGAGATATGCAGATCCATGGAGCTTACTGTATAGCCAACTTATCTGAATCAGTGAGCTCCAGATTCTCTAAAAAAAAAAAGATGGAATCCTGAGAGATGGCCCAGTGGTTGAGTTATTTCTGCTCTTACACAGGACACAAATTCAATTCCTAGCACTCACATTGTTGAACTTTAGAGTCCAACTACTGAAGAGGAGTCACCCAAAGAATACACGGTCACACCTCAATTGATGTAAAAGCAAGAGGATTTTAATTCTGCTGTGGTAGGGTCACTTAGCATTCAATAGCATTCAATGCCAAGGACCCCAAATGCCTGTTACAAGCCATTTTTTAAAGCGAAAAGCCATAGAAACAAGGGTGGGGGACTCGGGAGCAGTTTTCCAATTATTAGGATTGGCTTATTCAGAGGGGCTTCTAATAACAAGTGGTCTGAGCCAGGGCTGGAGAGCGGTTGCCAGATCAGACGAGGCAACAGGGAACATCTGGGGATCATTCTGACTCCTTTCCAGGGACCAAGTCAAAACATTGGTTGACATCTGTGGGTTATCTTGTTTCAATTCTAGAAACGGAGCTCTATTTGGAGAATATCTGCAAGGTCATAGGAGATGGAAAGTTTCCAACATTTCAGTACATGCATGTATTCTCAGGGAGGTGTGGGGGGAAGCACTAAGGCACTCAGAAATGACCTCAAAATTGTCTTAAAAGTCCTACAACTTGATGGCTCACCACTTGTGACTCCAAGTCTACAGGATCCAAAGCCATCTTCTGGCTTTTGCGGGTACCTGCACTCATGTAGCATACACTCACACAGACACATAAAGATAAAAATAAGATAGAGAGAGATAGAAGACACCCATCATCAACATCTGACCTCTATATTTACACACACACACACATGAACACAAGTACACACATTATACCACCCACACTAAAAATAAATCTAATGAAGTAAATAATTCATTAGCAGAATGTCACATGTATTTACTAGAAAAAAGTAGATTTTTTGTTTTAACATTAGCATTTTGTAATCTAGATTATTTTGACAACAGGATAAACAGACTCTAAACACATCCTGACAGACTGCCAAAGTTTAAAATAAACAGCTAAGGAAATTCAAATTTACACTATCTGTTCCTGCAGCTGCTCAACTTCTTCTAAGCAAAGGTCAGAAAATATAATGGTTTTCCAACTGGTTTTAGATAAAATTTGAAAGAACAATTCATGTCAGGAATAATTATTGCCAAGTACATTTGGCAGAATTTATATATCAAAAATTCCAACGGAAATACAAACAACACTCCCAAATGTTAAGAGGAAACAAAGTTAGAATGGATTATAAAACATTTTTTCTATGATGTTTTGTGCTTCTTCAACAATGGAAATTTTCCATATAATTAATGTGTAGTATGAAGATCTTCTTCTTACACTCACTAATATGTCTCTATCCCAGAAAGAAAACAAACATATTTGTTGCTGAACACAATCTTATATAACAGGAATAGTTTGTACATAACCGAACCCTGTGCAATTTTTCTTTTAATATATTGAACAATTAGTATTGGTTAAAGTTTGGCCCATTGGGGGGCATTATTTACTCTACTATTATATATCAATGCCACCAACAAATGGATTGTGGTATACCAATAGTCAATTTTTTATACTAGTGTATGATGTTGACCTATCTATAAAAGGCCAGGTGAGTGCCTCTCCCGGAAACTAGTCATCATCAGGTATCTCCTGTAAGGCCATGAGTGTGATGAGGCAAAAAAGGATGAGGGGTTCCTAGCCTCCTGTTTATACAGTTATCTTAGCTCTCTAACCATGAAGTTCCCCCATGCATTTCTCTACAAAGAAATTCTATTTATTGGAAGAATTTCCTTAAAAACCCCTGGTCTTTGGCCCACAACCACTATAGAATGTCTTTTGTCAAGGCCTTCAGTTGGCAGAGCCAGTCAACTGGCTCTCAGGTATCTTGGAAACCCTGGAATGGAGTGAAATTCAGGGCTAAGTGGAAGAGTGGGCCAGAAGAATATGATATGGGTGAAGCCAGCCCCACTTTGCCCTGCTTGGTCAGAGATCTTGACAGAGGTCTCTGAAAAACTAAGTATCAGTTCAGATATTTGACTGTTAAGAAGACTGTTAAGCATTGAAAGCCAGCAGAGTCCAGCTCTGCTGACTTCCTCCCAGTGTTTGGTTAGGTTGCCTTGGAGGAGTAGCAAAAGGTACTTAGAAAATTTCTAGTCTGAGGTTACAGAATGAATTCACATGATTGCAGTTCTAGTCATGTCTCTTTATTGTTCTGTTTTAATTCTAATTTTCTTGTCTTAATTGTCTATAATTTCTTAGCTCTAATTCTCTGTATCAATTCTAATTCCAATTCTCTATTACAAATCTCTATTTCAATTTATTCTTGTTCTAATTACTCAATATTCTTCTTCTTTTTCTTCATTTTCCTTCATTCTTTATCCTTCTACATTATTTACTCTTCCAGTCTTCTTTTTTCTGCTGGTACAAATTCCCAAGCATATACATATACACATATACATGCATACATACACACACACACACACATCCATTCATTAGAAACTTGTTAGTAATAAAAATCTGCAAGGAAAATTCTCAGGGACACAGGTGTTCTTTGAAGATACGCAGCAAATTTTATCAGCTAGTTTGTAGCTAACCGTAGCTGCAGCTGTGAGGAGGTTTGGGCCATCTCTTAAAGGGGCCACTACAGGTTACAAAGGGAGAAAACTAAAACATTGAGAGATCTAAGGAAGAGACAGAGACTAACATGGTTAGTCAGTTGGGTGCTATTGGTCTCTTGAAGGATTATCATATAACAAGGCCAGACACCTGCAATACCACTCTAATTAATCATAAATCTTTCAAGGACTTAGATCTAGTAAGGCCAGACACCTGCAGTTCAGCTCTGTGGAAGTTCCTCCTGTGATCTCTCCACAGGACTTTCTTCTGGTCAAATAATCCTGCTAAGGAATTAATTATAAAGAACAGACTTCTAAGTTGTTTTTTATTGCAGTGTGGGACAAAGGGTTTGACTGTCTTATTTTATTTTCCAGATTAGTTTTTTTTTTGGGGGGGGGTGAAGTCATCCTAAGAGAACACAGGAAAATTGTGCCCAACATATGAGGAATACACTGCTTAAGAGTCACAAAACTGAGTTAGAAGTGGAGCATGTTATCACACAACAGAATTTGCAGTTAGAGACAGCCAGCTATTCAAAATGCAATATTTTTCATGGCTGTGTTTATGTGAATTTAACCTCCATCATATGTGTAAATGTCTGGTGGACTGGCCTTCTAAATGTCAGCTGATTTGCATAACCTTGCAGATCCCATGAATTCCCCCTTTTTCATTTAATAAATGCAGTTTATGAATTTCTCTCTGGGGAATGCATACTTCAGGTCCTAAGTGTCTGAGGATGACTGGAAGAATGATAATGATGCTGAAATTAATAATCAACAGTCTATATTGATAGTTAATCAATACTTTGTATTTATAATCAATATTTATAATTATCAATTTATGTCTATAATTAATAATAAGTCAACAATCCATATTGATGGCAAGCAGAGAACTAGTTTAACCATCTTGTAGTTGTATATGAATTCATAATATCTCTGATTTATAGTAAGGCAGAGGAGTTATATAGGAATCTACAATAATTTGTATGACATGGTGTGGTTAAACATGTCCAAATGTTAGGATTTTGAGTTATCAAAAAAGAATGGTTAAACATAGAATGTTAGTTTTATTAGTCTTTGGTTAATTATATTAGATTTGATTAATTTGTATTTTGATTGAGCATTGTTAAAGGTTTTTATTAAATGTTTTATTCATTTAGTAGACTGAAAATATATAGATCAAGAAGATGTCTCCATTAAAATCAGAAGCATTTTTATATTTAAGAAATGACCAGGGCTGGAGAGATGGCTCAGTGGTCAAGAGCATTGCCTGCTCTTCCAAAGGTCCTGAGTTCAATTCCCAGCAACCACATGGTGGCTCACAACCATCTATAATGAGATCTGGTGCCCTCTTCTGGCCTGCAGGCATACACGCAGACAGAATATTGTATATATAATAAATAAATAAATAAAAAGAAATGACCAAAGGGAATATAGAATCCTAAGCTCATAACTGAATAGCAAGAATCATTGTTCTATCAGTTTATTAAAATTTTATTAATGTTAAACTTTGAACTTTTGAAAACTTACTATAACAATATCAAAAATGAATGATCTTTTCTTTTCTTCATCCAGATTTCTTCCTAGAATGCCAACATCTTTTCCATTCAACACCTCCATCATGTACAAAAAGACGGTATTTGTAGAGTACATGGACCACCTTTTCAGCATTGCCAAGCCCAGGCCACCCTGGATGGGTAATGAAAACAATATTGAATGCTAATTATGATGTTAGTTAACTCATTTCCTAGCAAATATCCCTAACCTCAGGGCTGTACTTAGAGAGTGTGGTCACCAAAGGATATATTCTTTAACCAGATGTCCTTAACTGCTACTTTCAGGAAAATAAACTGACTGGATTTTATGTCTCCTCTGCTTGGCTTCTACAAGCTTGGTCTTGGACTATTTCCTTTTCTTTTTTTCTTTAATCCACTTTTTTCTTCTATAGTTTTGAAGCTTTACATTTTTGTCTATGTTCTAATAGCTCCACTTCTATATTTAATTTTGACCCATTCTAAATATCAACTCTTTATCTCCACTTAGATGTCAAATAAGCATGTAAAAAGACAAGATATTTATTGCATTAACAATGTTTTTATCAATGCTAGAGATCTAACCTAGGGCCTTGCACATGTCCAGCAATTGCTTTATTACTGAGCAACACCACCATTACCTGTCTTAGAATTGATGCTGAGAATTTTATAGGTGACAAATACTCTCATATTTGAAGTCTGAGCCTTGATTGAGATTTTTTTCATGTAGTAGGCATAAACTGTTCTTCAACCTTTGGCCCATGACCCCTCTGCAGCCTATATGAAAGAAGGCTAGGAATGTGTAAGATTTACCTTTGAGGATTTCTTTGGAAAACATTTTTGGTATGTGCCCTACTGAAATATGTGAGGGAGGCCACTTGAGAAGGAGGATTAGGAAAAGAAGCCAGGAAATGTATGAAGCTGCCAACAAAAGTACTTTTACTTACCGAAGTTTTTTTGTGGGGAGGCTCTTCAAAACTTAGCAGGAGGATTAAGGGAGCTTTAAGATTCAGAAAATATCGTGCTGGAGAGATGGATTAGAAGGACAAGTGAGATTGTTCAGAGGTTAAGAGCTCTTGTTACTCTTGCAAGGCCCTGGGTTCAATTTCTAGTACCTACATGGTAGTTCACAAACATCTGGAACTCCACTTCTAGATCCCGCACCCTCTTCTGACTTCCTTGGGCACCAAGCACACATATGGTGCACAAAGGCTTGCAAACAAAACACTCATACACATAAAATAAAACACATAATAAAAAAGATTCAGAGGACATCAAAGTTTGTCATTTAAAAGGAAAGAAATTGTTAAGATCTACAAACATTAGTGTCTGTTAGTATTTGGACATTACTAGAAAAGATTTAGGCTTGATCAAAGTGCAAGAAAGAAATTTCACAGAATGCAACTAAAAATTGTGGTCATTTTGGAAAATCAAAGCTATTTTATATTTTCATGTCACTGACTCCAACTCATTCAATAAACCATTTATAAGTATCTTATAAAGATATCCACAGACTATAACTCTTAATTTCCTCTTGATTTCTGTATTTTGGACTATCTATCCATTTGTCATAACTGAAATTAAATCATAGGAATCACCTATGATCTCTTCATTTTTCTCCCTCCCTTCTTCCCATAAGGTCCTACATATTATTTTCCCTGTATACATCTCTAATCTTATTTTTTTATTATTCTACTGGTCATTCACATAAATTCAGTCATACTATTCAACTATGCCAGATTTATTTATGCCTCAAGACTTTTGCATTTGTTTTATTTGCTTTTAATGTTATTCTCCTAGATCGTTGAATTAACGAAACATTGAATGACTTATCACAAATAATTTCTCAGAACAACCCTGAGGCTGAACTAAAGTTAGTAGAAAGCATAACTGCTATTTATCAGTTTCAAAGTGGCATGATTTTCCACTGTGACTTTAATTCTCTCTTTTATAATGACAGGCTCTCTGGTATGTTATCTTTCAAGTAATTTTTGAGGGACATCTCATTTTAACAGGTCTGCTGGGTCCTACCATTTGGACTGAGGTTCATGACACTGTAGTCATTACACTTAAAAACATGGCTTCTCATCCTGTCAGTCTTCATGCTGTTGGTGTTTCCTACTGGAAATCTTCTGAGGGTGAGTCAAATTCTTTCCTATTGTCCTGCCATTCTAATTATAGAAAGATGAGAAGCATGTTCTTGGTAATAAGGGCCATGTTTCTCCATTTTGGATTGCTATAAAATAAACACTTATCTGGATACATTACAAAGTAAGAGGATTATATAATTAATAGTTCTGAGTTCTAAAAGCATCAGCTTTCATGACATCTTCATGCCATATAGTATAAGTGATCATAAATATAAACTTATGAAACAATGAGCCAAAATTAACCTTTCCTTCTTAAATGTCTCAAAACTATTACATTGGAACTAAATATCCAATACAAGAAACTTAGAGGACATGTCTAAACAGTGTTATACCTGGAATTGTATTAATTCTTTTGTATATAAATGTATTAAAATTTAATCATCATAGTAGCAGTAATTACTTATATGTACTACATTCAAGTCCATATGCTTTCCAGTGGCAGAATCAGGTTCATAAGTGGGCCTATCCAACCCTAAAACTTGTGCTCTGAACCACTATTCCACAGTACAAGGATTTGTATAGATAATGCTGAATTTTTGTTTATATAACTAGAAAGTTCCATGAAATGAACTGGGTGTGACTGGGGACCAAGGATTCAATGATACCTTCAGCATCATTTTTCTCACATTTTTTGCTCTATATTCCTTCTGTTTTGGTTTTATTCTTGGCCAGACTTCTTTAACATTATGACAAATGTAGCTACTGAAAACTTGCTTTGATTTTTACAGATGGTGATGATGATAATGAAATCTTTTCCTATATGTCTTGACGTTGAGCAATATGGAAGGCTATAGAGGAAGAAGGAACATCAGCCTTATTTAACCTGCCTATGGAAAGTTCTTGTCACACAAGATAGAGAGTTTCACTAATATAAACTTCTATAAGTAGTTCCTGAGAAAGGCAAAGACTCAAGAAGCAAAGTGAACTGTAATTGAGGCTTCCAGGATTTACAATCTGATGTTAGTTCTACCATTCGTATCTCAAAGTTACTAGAATGTAAATATTTCAAAATAGGTTCATTGTATACATTTGTTGTTTCCCTAGCATGTAACATAATATCTAGTATACAGTCCTTGCTCTACATAAGAACAAAGGTATAGAAAAACACCATTTTCTTTATGTTCCTCACTCATTAGAATTACTTCTTATGGAAGCAGGGATATAGCTTAGTGATACAGCACTTGTCTAGCACATGTTTTATTCTTAATATTGGGAATAGAGAAGCCTCCAAAGAATTGCTAATAATGCTTGATGGTACACACCTCTAATCTCAGCATTCATGAGACTGAACCAGGAAGATCACTGTAAGTTCTAGACCAACCTGAGCCATAAAATAAGACCATGTATTTAAAAAAAAATTGCCCCTTCTAATTATATTTCAAACAGAATATGCTATTTTTTAAATTCCAAATCTCCATGGTCTAGGTGATTGGTCTAGAGATAAGCAGTTGATCCATGTTTCCCATCTTATTGGTCACAGTTAATTGGCCTAGAGATCAGTATCTTACCTAATTAAGCTAGGACAAAGACAGACCCTCATTTAGGACTTTAAATTTTTGAGAAAGGTTCTATTATTAACAGATAACCCTGTAAGTTTTAGGACAAAGTGAAGTTCTTAGTTCTTCATGGATTCCATCTTACCCCCAAATGGCCATTATGAAATTCAAATAATGAAAAATGTCCCCCATAGTCTCCAGTATTTGACCACTTGATCCCCAATTGGTGATGTTAGGGGAGGTGATGGAACTGTTAGGACATAGAATCTTTCTGGAGGAAATATGTCTCTGGAAATAGGCTTTGAGAGTTTAACCCTCACCCCTATCTCTAGTTAGCTCTACTTCCTTTGTGCAATTTAGATCTGATCTCTCACCTATCTTCTACAGATGCATGTGTCAATGTATTCCCTTCCATTATTGACATTTAGCCCACTGGAAGCATAAGCCAAAATAAATTCTTCCTTAAGTTATCTTTGTTCATGCTATTTTATCATGAAAAAAGGTGACTCTGGTTGTGTCAAATTGATAATAAAAACTAACCAGGACAGATGGTGTATGCTAAACATCCCGTATTACTATAATGTTGCTGTAGTTAATGTTTTTACTCTTTGGGGACCCACCACCCAGCTCCCAAATACATACACATAGACTTATTCTTACTTATGAATGCCTGGCCTTAGCTTGGCTTGTTTCTAGCAAGCTTTTCTAACTTAAATTATCCCATTTATTTTTAACTTTATTTTGCCTTTGGACTTTTTAGCTTTCTTATATTTTTCTTTCATTCTTACTCTATTGCTGACTGGGTGGCTGGGTGACTAGACTCTGGTATCCTTCTCTCCTCTTTTCCCCTAGATTTCTCCTCCTATTTATTCTCTCTGCATGGCAACCCCATCTATCTATTTCCTGTATAGCTTGGCCATACAGCTCTTTATTAGATCAATCAGGTGTTTTAGGCAGGCAAAATAACACAGCTTTACAGAGTTAAAAGATGCAACATAAAATAGTGCATCATTAAGCAAATATTTTGCAGTATAAACAAATATAACACATTTTAAACTAATATTCCACAAAACTTTGCTATTTATATTCAAATCCCTGTGTTCTCCCTTTGGAGCCAGACTGTGAGTCCTAAAACTCCTATTGTGTCAGTCTTCCTCTGCCCAGAAGTTTTCTAAAGAAGATCAAATCTCATAGTATGGAGATGAAATAGAATTCTCATTTTTCTTTAGATTCTGACTTTTATAAGGAAAGGGCTTATGATCAGTTAAGAGCCATATAGCAGAAGATCAAGATGAGATCATTAAAATAATTTGGCCTTGGCCCCCACTCCAGCTGCTTCTGCTTAACTTCACAGTGTAGCAAGGAGTAACTAGGATGCCAGTACTATCAATATACTCTATAACATTTTAAAATCAAGGAAATCATTAATAATTATTGATGCATGTTTGTAGTGATAAGAGAGGCGAGGCTGCGTCCCCGGCACCCGGCCGCCCGCATGGCTAGTTTATGCCCAAAATAATTACACGGAAACTGTATTCTTTTAAACACTGCCTGACCCGGCTAGTTCCAGCCTCTTATTGGCTAGCTCTTACATATTGTTCTAACCCATTTCTAATATTCTGTGTAGCCCACGAGGTGGCTTACCAGGGAGGATCTTAACCTGCGTCTGTCTGGAGTGGGAGAATCATGGCGACTCTCTGATTCAGCTTCTTTCTCCCAGCATTCTGTTCTGTCTACTCCACCTACCTAATTTTCTGTCCTATGAGGGTCAAGGCAGTTTCTTTATTAGTTAACCAATGAAAGCAATAGATAAGAAACAAGACCCATTTCCATCACATGTGTTCTATATTACATACTCTAAGTTGTCATTCTGAAATGGAAAGGCCTTAACTTGGAAATTTTCAGATTAATATGACCAGATAATAAAGAAACTTCTTTCCCTTTGGTGATGCATAATGAAAGAAATAGATTTTGAAAAAATTCTTTAAAGAAAGGTATATTTGGCCGGGCGGTGGTGGCGCACGCCTTTAATCCCAGCACTTGGGAGGCAGAGGCAGGCAGATCTCTGTGAGTTTGAGACCAGCCTGGTCTACGAGAGCTAGTTCCAGGACAGGCTCCAAATTCACAGAGCTAACTGGGGACATCGCCCTGGGCACCTGGGAGCCCCTCTAGGTTCAAGTCTCTTGCCAACCCTAAGATGGCTCCCTTAATTAAGTTATGTGATTCCTTGCTCCTCTATCCTTCCTTTCTCCCAATCATCCCGTTTCCCCAAGTTCCCCCCATTCTCCCCTTCTTACTTTTCTCTCCCCATCTCCCCTTACCCCTTCCCACCCCACCCTCAAGTTCCCAATTTTTTGCCCGGCAATCTTGTGTACTTCCCATATCCAGGATAATAACTTTATGTTTTTCTTTGGGTTCACCTTCTTATTTAGCTTCTTTAGGATAGCAGATTATAGACTCAATGACCATTATTTATGGCTAGAAACCAATTATGAGTGAGTACATCCCATGTTCCTCTTTTTGGGTCTGGGATACCTCACTCAGGATAGTGTTCTCTATTTTCATCCATTTGCATGCAAAATTCGAGAAGTCATTGTTTTTTACCGCAGCGTAGTACTCTAATGTGTATATATTCCACACTTTCTTCATCCATTCTTCTATTGAAGGACATCTAGGTTGTTTCCAGGTTCTGGCTATAACAAATAATGCTGCTATGAACATAGTTAAACAAATGCTTTTGTCATATGATAGGGTATCTCTTGGGTATATTCCCAAGAGTGGTATTGCTGGGTCCAGGGGTAGGTAGGTTGATCCTGAATTTCCTGAGAAACCACCACACTGATTTCCAAAGTGGTTGCACAAGATTGCATTCCCACCGGCAATGGATGAGTGTATCCCGTCCTACACAACCTCTCCAGTAAAGGCTATCATTGGTGTTTTTGATTTTAGCCGTTCTGACAGGTGTAAGATGATATCTCAAAGTTGTTTTGATTTGCATTTCCCTGATTGCTAAGGAGTTAGAGCATGATTTTAAGTGTCTTTTGGCCATTTGAACTTCTTCTGTTGAGAATTCTCTGTTCAGTTCAGTGCCCCATTTTTTAATTGGGTTAATTAGCAATTTAAAGTCTAGTTTATTGAGTTCTTTTTATATTTTGGAGATCAGATCTTTGTCTGTTGCAGGGTTGGAGACGATCTTCTCCCAGTCAGTAGGTTGCCTTTTTGTCTTAGTGACAGTGTTCTTTGCTTTACAGAAGCTTCTCAGCTTTAGTAGGTCCCATTTATTCAATGTTTCCCTTACTGTCTGTGCTGCTGGGGTTATACATAGGAAGCGATCTCCTGTGCCCATCTGTTGTAGGGTACTTCCCACTTTCTCTTCTATCAGGTTCAGGGTGTTCAGATTGATATTGAGGTCTTTGATCCATTTTGACTTGAGTTTTGTGCATGGTGATAGATATGGGTCTATTTTCATTCTTCTACAGGTTGACATCCAGT